AACTTTCACATGCCAAAGACGCTTTGGCAGACTTTCTGCAACCAAACAAACGATAAACTCCTCATAAGAGCAGCCCTTCTCTGACCCACCAATGGCCTCCACAACTCTACTCCTCGCCCTCCTTCTCTGCAGCTGGTTCCTTACCATCGCCCTCCTTCTCTGCAGCTGGTTCCTTACCATCGCCCTCATCCTCATCCTCGTCGTCGCCGTCTTCTTCCTCAAGGAGACCTACACCATCCGCTTCCACCTTGACCGCAACCCCACCCCCATCACCACCCCTGTCGCAGAACAAGCCTTAAACTGGGCCAACAACGGAGTACAAGTAATGTCCCCAGTCAAGCTCATCCCTACTCCCTTTACTGACCTACTCAGTGGTGAACCAAGTTGCCCCCCTCACCGCCACCACGCTCGCCGTCGTTGACGAGCACCCCCACCTACTCCTTCTCGCCCTTCTGAGCTCCTTCCTCATCACCCTCCTCGCTATCCTCGCCCTCGCCCTCATCGTCCCCCTCACCCTTCGCACTACCATCCGACACCTCGAGAGGGAACACCAGTGGGCGTTCAACATCGCCGCAACCGCACAGCGCCCCCTCCCCCATACCACCACCACCCTCCCTGTGATCGCAGCCAACAGGGATTCTAATAATCCCACACAAGTTTATTTTGAATATATTAGGGAGCATCAGGATTGAGGTCTGGGGCTTTACTTTGTCTGTAGTACTTGGTGTCGTTTGTATTCTGGGCTTGGTTTTTTCAAGAACAATTTCCTTTTGGCTCTCTCTCATGCCTGCTGAGCGCAACAACCGCACAAGGAATAATGAGACCTCTAATTTGGATCCGCATCGCCGCCCTCTGGCTCCTAGGCACAACAATTCTCCAGAGACTGGTCCCCAGAGAGCGCCAACTCCTTACCCTCCCCACCTACAAACTCTAGAAGAGCGCTTCACGGCTGGAGTAATAGAGATGCCAGTTCCTAGGCGTCCCATCTTAAGCTTTCCTCCTCAGCAAGAATCTGATGATTCTTCCCTAGAGTTCCTTAATGAAGGCGGTTTCCGTTATCCATTCCCACCCTTCCTGCCAAACGTTACTCGCCGACCTTTTCTTATCCCCGGTCCCTCGGATTCATCCAACAGTGACGCTGTTGTCTTGCACCAATTTCCTGGGCCCTTGGAAGTTCCTCAGGGATCAGAGGCAACATCCGGATCTTACCACGTTGCTCCTGCACAGGTTTTCCCATCGTCATCGCCAATGAATATCTCCTCGTCTCCTAATCCTGACAGTCCCCTTGCTGCATCACCCGACTCACCAAGTATGCCGCCTCTCGCTTCAGATGTCTCCGACAATGGAAGCCTCGATCATGCTCCCAATCTACGGCTACTAGCTGATGTCAGCGACTATATCACAGCCACAGAAGGATATAGCAGCGACCCACAGGAATTTGTGGTCTACAGCGACGACGTTATCTGGTGACCCTCCCTTGATGTCACACAATCCTGGCAATCTATTTCCTTCGACACCTCCACACCTATTCAGGATGTCGATCCTCTGGAACGCGTGCTTCCCCACTTCCCTGGAGCCTACGCTACCACCGTCACTTGACCTCCTATGGGCGTTCCCATCAATGGAAATCCTGCCTTTGGGTTACATCGAGTATCAACAACCCCAGCCGATACACTTCGAGTCGCTGAACCTGTAGGAAACTGGAATCAATCGGACAAGGAATGGGAGGAAGACACTACGGAATATCTGCTGACGCGGGATGACAACCTCTTGGAAAGCCTTTGGGCTTCATTACAGGATATCAAGGACCCTGGAGTTGTTGATGAAGTCGACCGGTTCAGGGCTATCGATGCAAAAATCGACTTACTACTAGCAGCACGACAATTGGTAGGAGCCGAACTTATTCGTGCTCAACAGGAAATGGACCAATGCCGCTCCCGTCTCAAGGCGGCCAACCTGGAGGAATGTCTCGAGCAGCATGAATTCTCCAACATCGCC